ATGTGTGTGGTGAGGGGAGAGAGGGATTGGGGGCACATCTGCTTCAAATATTCTGATAAACTTCTTAGAAGCTCTGGTCACAACTCAAGACCAAAAGGTGATGTATACTGACTAGGCGGAGTTTTCATATACAGCAGTCAAATTTCTATGAGTATTTATTGTGCTGAAAACCTTAGAAAATATATTAAATAGCCATATTCATCCTAGACTCCCCAAAAGGGTATCTTTGCAGATGTCACAAAGCTTGGTGATATAAACAGTGTAACAGATGGCAGTACTGGTGTTTGAAGATCCTGACAACCTAGACTGATGGCTAGAACCATCAAGATTACATTTAGTAGAAGTAAATATAAATTTTAAGTTCCTAGTTAAACACGGTAGTTTGAACACCTCTCTCCCATTTCCACTTATTGCCACTCTTTCCAAAAACTCTACTTAATGATAGTTAAGAAGTTTTAAAAAGACATAAATCTACAAGGTCAAAGAGAATTGGAGACAAGATCACAACAGGTGAGAAATGGGGACAAAGTTTTGAAAGCAGAAAACCAGGTGCAGGAGGAGTAGCTGGCTTACTATAGCCAAGAGCAGAAAACGACGTTAATTCACATCACAGAACTTCCCCTGCTCCCCTCCACAAAGGATGTGAATGTCCAGTTTAAAAGAGATAAAGGAGCCCTGACCAGTTTGGCTCGACAGTTGAGCGTTGGCCTGTGGATCAGAGAGTCCCAGGTTTGGTTCCCGCAAGGAGCACGTACCACCAAAAAAAGAGAGAGAGAGAGAGAGAGAGATAAAGGATTTTAAAAGTAACTGTACTATAACATTTTTAAGTATTAGGAATAATGGAAAAATCTTAGGTACTTTCATTGAAGGGTTAAAAACAAAGATAAGTCACATATTTTAAGAATAAGAATAGCATCAGATTTCTTAATGGCAAATCTGAAATTTAACAAGAAAACAGAGCAATGCTTTCACAACTCTGAAGATTTCCAGTAGAGAATTATATATCTTGGCAAAAGATCAAATTAGGAATGGAATTAAGGCATTCCCAGATATACACTATCTCAAAACATATCTCCTTTTTTTTTTAGGAAGCAGACAGAGAATATAATATCTCAAAATGCAGGAGTAAATTAAGAAAAATACATGAAATTTAGGAGACAGGATGGCCTCCAGAGTCTTCTGGTCGATGCTGGTACAGCATGTCCACAGATCAATCCATCCACACTGAAGTGGGAGAAACAGTTAACTCTAGGATAAAAGACCAAATACATGAGATCACTTGCAGTCTGAATCTCCAAGAATCAGATTTTCAATACTAACAAAAATTAAGATTTGAGTGTCTGGTAAATAGGAGGCTAAACAACCAACCAAAAACCATGGCAATTATTAAATCCAGGGAACACAAAAAAAGTGGACATGATAGAAAACAAGAATTATCACAAGAATCATTTACATATTTCAGCTGTGGATAATATTTATAAAGCCACAACACTGTAAACAAAATGTCAATTATAAATAAATAATTGATGAAAAGTGGTCTTCAGTGAAGTGGGCCTGGAAAGTCATGTTTCTTTCTCCTACTACAGTGGCTGTATTATAGTAAAAAGTAGACTTGTTTAGAAACAGTGAAATAAGTCATAGTCCCAGCAGCCACAATTGAAGGGGATGAATAACTAGTGAGCACCCCAAAATCCCCAGGTGAGCCGGGATGATTTTCTATCCCCACAGGCAAAGACCCCCCTCAGTTGCCACAGTACTTCCATCACAGATGATGATAAATTAAGAGTATATGATCTTAGTAGAAAAGCTGGTAAAGTCCAAACCCAAAATGGAGTCAATTCATTGAAGGTGTATTCTGTGTGAGGGAAATCAACTAGGTTGATTTAGAAGCTGGCTTGTTTATATAGCCAGTTATTTTGATTTATAGGCATATACAAAACCTGTTTCTAACTACCTATATAACCTGAGATATTCTGAAATTGTTCACTGAATTTAATGGGCCACTACCAGACTCTTACCATTTTGTTAGGCCTCATTATTCTTGACTTTAATGTACAAATAGATGTTTTTTTTTTAATAGGAAATTATATGTTTCTATAAGACTTAGAAACTAAAGAACTAAAACTGTAAGTAACAGATAAAAACAGGAAATAGTCAAATAGTTTGAAGTTCAGTTTTCCACAAGTTTCATAATCAGATGACCATCACTGGCATTCTGGCGATGAGTCTCAGAGAGCAGAAAACAGAACCCACATGGTATCTCAGCAGAGGGCATTTACAGCCTCCACTAAGATCGCAGTTGCTGGCAGGTGAGAGTGAAAAGGATGTCATAAAGTCCTAAGGTTTTCAGCTAGGCTCTGTCAGCCCCAGGAGTTACCAGCTAAATAACTAGACAATAAAAATAAAATTGGACTTTTACTGCAGCCACTGAGAAGGAATTTGATCTTCAGACAGAGGACAACAGTAGATCTTAAACATCTCATCTCTGTTGTTATTCTCCATGACTGATTACATGTTGAGGGGCCACTCTCAATGAGCCCTTGCAAGATATAGTGTGAGTTCCTTGTGGTGAAACTTCTTGGCAAAGAAGGTCATATTGATCTACATCCAGTTTCCTGGTCTATTTCTTCAGAATATGAGTGATGTGGCTACTGATTAGAGTTTCTATGAAACTTAGCATTTGGATAAAGTATGGATAAAATAACCTAACATTGTTAGTATTAGAAACACAAAGGTGAGAGCTTCTTAGTGAAATTCTTATTGAAAAGTTTCCCTCTAATACTAAAATTATTCAGGCACAAAATTGTTTAACTGATTCAGAAAACCAGCACCAGGTCTCATTATAATGCCTAGACCTTACTGTGTGCATGTATATTTTCACAAGTAATAAAAATATCTTTGAAAAGCCTCTGGCAGTGTTATCCTGATTTGCCTTAACAAACAGACAGGGCAAGTCCCCGTAATACTTAAAAGAAATTTTTAAGAGTGTCACTTATTTTATTAAGAGTTATATTGATATATAAGTCATGTACTATATAAATCACCATGTAAAGTGTCAGTTCAATGGTTTTAGTGTATTACCGGAGTTGTGCAACCATCACCACTATCTAATTTCAGAACATTTTCTTCACTCTCAAAAAGGAACCCTATATTCAGTAGCAGTGAAGAGTTGCAAACTTTTGGAGTTTCCTCTTCCCTTAAAAACAGAAAAAGGTTTAAATATTGCTTAGTTGTTTGGACACAGCAATCAAATGCACTTTTGGGGGTAGGTGAGATAGAACAAATATGGTGCTAAAGGGTTTTTCTCTCTCCTGAGAGAATGCCCTAAGCAATTTATAGTCACATACAATACTGACATGTGTGTGAATAAAATCTAAGAAATTGCATATATATTTGATAACTCCTAAGCTTATTCTTATAGCCCTGTCTTAAGGCCTGGAAAAAGCCAATGGCCATGCATTGGGAAACACGGCTAATTTCTTTGCTGGTTATTAATTTTTCTCCTTGTTAGTTCTTTCAAATTTATTATAGTCACAACTTTTTCCATATCAAAATTCTTGTTTGGATGAAAGAAATGTCATTTCTATTAAAATTGCCTCCAAGATGTAAGTTTGAAGAGATTACAGCATTTGGACATAATAGACACAAATACACATATTTTTCTTTATTCCCAATGAATGAGAAGAATAGATGAAATGTTTGATAGCTGTTAGATAATCCTGGTGAAAACAACTTTAAACCTCTATAATTTTATAAAACACACTGTTTTTGAGAACTAAAATTCTGTAAGACGCAGACTTACTTTGTAATTTTATATCTTTTCCCAACATTATAAGAAAGTTAAGCTTCCTGTCTGAAGTCATCATAGTCAAACCCACATTTCAGGAAGTCAATCTATTATCAGCCTTGCCAGATGTTTCTCCAACTTGTCTGAGGCTGCTGCAACTAATTTGCTTCCTTTGAAGACCCAGGGCCCTTTCCGCTCCCTTTATGACCATTCTCAAGTTGAGAGAACAGCACTTACCCAACATCTAATTCATTTTTCTACAATTATTGGTGAACATGTGTGTATGTGCTATTCTCTCATCTCCGGAAAAGTGTGTCACTGCAGCTTCCTTGGTCAGAAATGTCCTTGTTGCGAAAAGGAAATGTATTGTTCCTTTTAAAATATTGAAAATTCTGAAAATCCCCAACCAACCTGGAAGTACTTTGCAAAAACCTCTATAACAATGTCAGCATGTAAGATAATTTATTAGGGTTTTTTATGACCTCTCATCCAACGTCCCACCTGATTTTTCTCCCACTTCCTATTGCCAAATAAAAGTGCTGCAGATGTTCAGGGGGAATGCTATAGTCATGTATGGGATTTGTTTGTTAAATTTGACCAATATTGCATGGTTTAGAAGTAGTAGACAATGAATAAAAACCACAGGCAGTAGGTTAGACCTGGGAAGTCAGCCTTCTCTGCCAACTTTGTAACTGATACTAGGACTCTGAAGGATTACATGTTAAAGCTCTTGTAAAATAACACTTTACATCTCTGTCTACTGCAATATTTTTCATTTTTAACTTGTGTGTCTTACTCAGGATAAGTTTTCACTTAGGAGCTAGAAAGTTATCCCAGTAACTCACGGACTTCATTTACTTCCCTCCATTAAGTTCTGCTGATATATCCCCGGTAGTCTCTGTCTACTAATCTCATCTCCCCCAGCCCCTGCCCCCAAACTCCCTTTCTCCAGTCTCCTTTTCCTGGCTTTCCCGCTCAATCACTTTAAGTACCAAACTGCCAGCCATCTTTAACAGCTTTCATGAGACTCAGGCTAGGGGATATTTTCTACATATTGGAGACATGATATTTCATATTTGATCAATTTATACGAGGAAATAGCTTATCTAATGGGAAAGTACACAGTTTGGGACTTAGACACGCACATCCGTTTAAATGTTATCCCTGGGGAAAAATTCCATTAACCTCAGTTTTCTTATCTGCAAAATGACAGCATCATGGCCACATCAGAGGATTGCAGTAAGAATGAGAGAGCACATGTGAAGTGCCCAGAAGAATGCCTGGAGTCCAGCAGACATGAATAACAGACTACTACATACCAGGTGCTACACTAGGTCCTAATGTCACAAAGAGGAATAAGGTGATGTCCCTGCTCTCCATGAGACCTCTGTCCATAAAGTGAAGATGCTGAATAGAAGTAAGTGAAAAACAGCTATCATTATTATTTAAGCTATTCTATTCTGTTGACAAACCATCTTGTCACAGCATTAAAAACGGTGTTATAATTGTAGCCCTAATAATGTCTAAGCAAACTGCCATGGGAACAAGGCTGGAATAAAAATATCTTCTTTGGAAAAAGGGATAATAAAGGAGAATCCAGAAAAGCTTCAAATGGGAAGTTACTTTTGAGTTGAACCTAGAGAGAACTGGGGAGCGGGCACTCAGAAAGCAGGAACTCCAGGAAAAGGCACAGGGTAAGAGATTGTGTGGCCTGCACACACGCAGAGGTATTCTAAAATGACGGTCTAATACACAGCAGGAAGGGAGGCTGAAACCATAAGGGACTCAACTGTCAATGGCTTTCAATGATATATGGAAGAGTTTGGATTTAGGCTATAATCTTGGGGACCAGTGATTACTTAAGGAGAAAAGCAGTATGATTAAGCCAGTGCTCTGAAATGGAATCACTATTTGCAGTATGGAGAACAGAATGGATGGTGACTAGGCTGAAGGAAAGGAGACAAGTCAAAATATTATTAAAGAATACATACGGATTATGATGACAGAAGCAAGAGCAGAGCTAGTGGAAATGAAGAAGAGGGAACTATTTGAGAGATGTTTGGGGACATGCTTTATTAGTGTATCTGGTCAAATGGTCAGAGAAGAAAAAAGATTTACCTTTTCACTGTCCCCCATCCAAATGTTTTGAAACAGTATTCTGAAGGGCTCTATGGTGACACTCTCCCTCTGCTTTTTTTTCTGGGGACAGAAGAGCACTGTGGATAAAAGGGAAATAGGCAGAGAAATCTGTTTGCTCCTCTGTTTTCCCAACTGAAAAGCCCTTCATCCTCACCTCTGTTTAAAGCTCTCAGCATATCATCGTGCTGCCTCCAGGAGATGCTCGGAGGAGAGAAGGCTTGAGGTGAGAAGGATGAGCAGGGGAACCAGTGGAGAGTAGGTCACAGCTTTCAGGACAACTGCGCTCTGGGACAGAAAACGAGGCCCAGAGGCCTCGCCACCAGCCGCAGCCTGACCTTGGGCAAGCCACTCAACATCGCAGAGCTTCAGCAGCTGCAGCATCTGTGGCAGAAGATAATAAAAAGTAACACCTGCCCTGCTTGCCTATTGGCAACGCGAAAGGAAATATAAAGAGCTAACGTGTCAGAAATTTCTTTGCTAGAGGGCTATGTGAATGTAAAGAATAATGTAATGAAAGAATAATACATGTTTATATACTGGGCATTTCACTGTTATGGGAACTAGGAAGACAGTGTCTGTACTCAGGAGATGTTTAATTCATAAAGACAGATTCATACCTACAAATACATGCATAATTCACTGAAATTATGAAGAACAGGCTAAATCCAACCACTTAATTTAAACATGCTCTATGAGGTTTCAACATGTCATAGTGGAAGAAAAAACCTGGATCCATTATATAATGAGCTCACGCTAACATAATCAGACTGGGCATTCCTTAAGGACTTATGCAGCCTTGTGTTACCTAAGTTCCCACTTTTTCATCAGTGAGCTGGAGAAAATAATACATATCTCACAATAACTATGTAACTAATGTAATAATAATTAGCATAATGCTTGGCATAAAAGTGGGGGGGTCTATAAATATTAGTTTCCATTACCCACATTTATTAATTTATATAGCAAATTAGTAGTATGTGTCTAGTGTGCCAGTCATCATTTTAGGACTTAACACAGTAAAAATTAAGAATGACAGGGACTCTGCCCTCATGGAGCCTACAGTATAGCAGAGGAAGCAAAAACAATCAGGTAAACAAGAAGAACTGGCAGGGGTTCTAGAAAGGAAATAAAAGCTGCTGCTGTACAATTATCAATGGGGGCAGAGTGCGGTAGGGGATGGAAAGGTTTTTTTTATAAAGGAGAATCACGGAAGGTCTTTCTGAGAATATGATATTAATATGAGACTTGAAGAGTTTGAGGGAGAAAGCAATAAAAATAAAAATAAGCAAAAAAACAAAAACGAAAACAGACAGGAGACGAGTATTCCAGGCAGGAGAAAACAGCAAGTAGACAGGACCCCAAGTGGCAAAGGGCTTGAGTGTTTGAGACCCATGAAGGCAGGGCAGCTGGAAAGAGGATGGAGTCCCACAGATGAAGCTGGGGGATCTGGGGGCCAGCTCACCCGGGGCTGGTGGCACCATTCTGTGTTTACACTTAATTCTACGTTCAATGGGAAGACACTGGAAGATTGTAAAGAACTGACATGATCTGAGTTACCGCGCCTAATACTGTGTCTTATGTGCAATAAGTGTTGAAGAGAAGAGTATCATATTTGAGTTCTATACATTTTACATTCAGATGTCTTTTATCTTTTAAGAAGTGGCACAAAATAATATGTACCACACAAATAATTTACAATTTTGTTGAATGCTCTTTATTAATTAAGAGATGCACCTATGGACCACTGAATCCTGGGTCTGATGTACTAAACTTATTTTCATTAATCAGGTAAAATCTTCTAATTTCTAGGCTACATTCTTCATAGTTTACCCTTAAATCTGGCTCAAAATAAACAGCTCTTTGTGCCACATGCTGGTTTTTTTCCTCCTTTTTCCTAATATCTATTTTCTTTCCTTAAAATATGAGAAAGAAAATGAAGAGGGGGGTATTTTTCTGGCAAGCTGTTATTATACTGACCAACACTAAGAAGAATTTTCTTTGCCAGCCCAATGCAGTTATCAAGTCGTTGAACAGGGGAAGAACGCCATGCCCCGCTCACACTGGTGCGTACTTTCATGGACTGTGGTACCTGTCTTCAGGCCCAGCGCCTCCGGTTCCCAGGCCTATGACAGGCTTTTGTTCGACTTGCAGAAACCATTCTCTGTGTTTCTGTATGGCAACCTGCTGTTTGGCTGGATTCCTGCTCATATCCATTTATATTGTCTCATTTATTTCTATTTCTATTTCCTTTCTTTTTCTCCCTTAGAGAGTCAAAGAATATAACATTTCAGATGAAAATGTGTTAGGACAAAGTTTCCACATTCTGCAATAGTTCTTCCTGTGATTTCAACTAACAGCATTTCTGGATACATGCTCAGCAGTGGGTCATGATTTTTTATTTTAAAAGCCCATGGAGAAAAAATGTTCACTGTTTAAAGGGAAAGTTCTTCAGTGCTGGGCTCATGGGACAGTGGTAAAATGAACAGGAGCCTCGGGTGGGCTGGGTCTCATATCTTCATCCCTAGCTGGTCCCAGAGGGAGACCATATAATTAGGGCACATAAAGACGTAAACAGCACAAGAACAAAAGTGATAGGACAAGGGATCATTTATTTTGAATGGAAGCAGTAGAGTCAATTAACAGTTTCATATGAGGAATTAAAAAAAAAAGTTAGAGCCATCAAAATGAAATCACCTAGCAATTTGTCCAAAATCTCGTTGGTGCCAGGTAAATGCCAATTAAACCAGCAACCCTTTAACAGTTTACAAAACATTTGTCACATATATCGCCACATTTAATTTTTATAACAACATTCTGCAATAGTTCCTCAGGGAAAATTAGAAACTTGTCAGGGTCAAATCAGTGGAGAAAGTTTGCATCATAGAGCTCACACTTCAGAATCAGACCAGTCTGGCTCCAGGACATGACGCTACCACTTATTAGCTGTGTGACTCTGAACAAGGTACTTCACCGCTGAATTAGCAGATGTGGGGTAATAATAATAATAATACTGTTATAATCTAAATGAGCTAGTTTGTTAATATTAAAAATGGGAAAAGAGCGAAGGGGAGGCCAGATGTTGTAAGCATGGTCACCTGGGCAGCTGCACTAGGAAGCTACAGCTGCACGCTCCCCAGGGAACCAGTGGCCCACTCCCTGCAGATCCCTGGGGGAAGGGACCACACAAGGCGGGAGAGGAGTGAATGCTCAGTGAAGTCAGGGTGGCACAGGGAAGTGCTCGTCTGCCAGTCTAGCCTGGGAACAGTGGATTGGCCAGGGGGTGGACCCCATCAGAAGCATACAAAATATTTAAAGTTTAAATTCCCAGACAAAGAGTTCCCTCTCTCTAGTTGTTGTTTTCTTGCACTAGCTCTCTCTTGCTCTGTGACATGCACTCGCCTGTTCTCTCTCCATAGCCATGTGGTCTTAGGCAGCCACATGTCCCATGGCTGTGAAGACCCCACATACAATGGACACAACCTAAGTTATCCAGATGCAGGACTGCACTGGACTTTAATATGGAACAGAAACTAAGGGCAGTGGCCCTTATTCTGGCCCTGCTGAAGACAAGATGAAATTTCTTCCATGGCGAGATGGATGGAGATGGGACCTTGGGGCAGAACCCCTTAATTTTACATCATCAATAGAGCTTTTCATGAAATCCCATCCTCCATGGGGGCCTCAGGAAATTATTTTCCTTGCAGCACCCCAAGAACTCCATTTTAACTGATAACAGTACCTGCTTCAGGGTTCTTAAGGAATAATTGAGATAATGCATGCGGAAAAATTCACTATACTTTCTAGTACACAGTAAACACATAAATATTGTTATTATTAAAACCATAAAACTAGGGTTAAAACCCCAAAGCCAACTTCACATCCCATAATCTAACCCTTTGGAAACTTGGAAGATTTTGTAAATTGTCTTTCTCACATATAGTGAATATTAACTGAGGTATATGTGATTGAACACCCCCCTCCATTTTCAGATTAATTGCCACATAATACAGCTGTGGCAACCACACTCCATCTAGCTTTGCACCAGAAGACTTAATCATGTCTTTATGGGAAATCCAGACTCCTCGTCCTCAACCCCAACAAGAGTCTCGCCCTGCATTGACTGAGGAGTGGCCTCTGCTTACGTCTTTATTCGAGGTGCTGCATTAAAATAGAGTAATTGAGTCTACTTTGGAGGAGACCCCACATCACCCCTCTAAACCTATCTAGCAGAGATGGGATTTTACTCCCGCATCTGGCTATGCTTTATCCGTTCCTTAAGCAAGTGCTATCTTTCCCCTTCAATTTCCCCAGCCAGCTTCTTCTGTGTAAATAACAGTATGTGTGATTCCTACCTCTCTCTAGGGATATGGAAAAGCAACCCTCTTCCAGAGAATACAAAGCAATGGTCCATAGGGTTAATGCAGTCATATAGCATTTTGTTTGGTCTATACATTTAATTACAATACTCAGACAATATTTAGATAATCCTATTTTCTTGAAAGATTTTCTACCTTGAGTAATCAGACTATCTGGGAGTATGGCACTCCCATTCCCACACTGAAATGAGTTATATCTGATTAGAAGCTGCCCTCTTTAATGGATCAAGTGCTCTCTAGCTTGCCATGGTCCCCCCTATCTTCTTTGTATTACATCTTATCCACTTTACTCATTTAGATGATTTGTCTGAGTCCCACAGGAATTTGGGTTTGCACACCCTTGTGCTATATCCTCCAGGATTTGATCATTATACCTTTCTGTTTGCTAATCTTTCATTATGTTGTATTTTCTTTATAAGCTTCTAAAGATCAAGAGTCCTCACTAATACGTTGTAATGCCTAGCACACCACTGTGATCCCCATGCAGTCCCTGCTCCGTATTAATGATGAAGACATCCAGTCCGTGTGAATTGCCTAGCAACTCTGATCACACCAGCCTTCCTGCTCCTCCATCTGCTCAACCTTGAAAAGGAGCAGAGCCTTACTAAGCCTCGCATGCATAATTCAGGCCATTATCCAGTTTGAATTCCTAATCTTTAAAGTGGGTGTGGATATACTGCACTTCCTTAGAATTCAACAATAGCTTCTGAACCATAACCTCAGCTTCTTGTCATCTGAAGTTTAAAAGTTACAATGTATTTTCTCTACATTCTTTTTTTTAGATTAAAAAACACTTTTTATTAATTGTTTTATATTTTATTTATTTTTGTTACAGATGTTTCTCCTTTTTCCCCCATTGACACCCTCTTCCCCCTCCCTCCCCACCCTGTCCCCAGCTTTGTTGTCCATGTCCATTGTTCATGCATACATGCATATAAGTTCTGTGGTTTATCTCTCCCTCCCACCCCCTCTTCTGGGGACTGTCAGTCTGTACCCTACTTCCATGTCTCTGGCACTACCCTGCTCTTCAGACTGTTATGTTCATTATATTCCACAAATAAGTGAGATTATATGATACTTGTCTTTCCCTGTTTGGCTTGTTTCGCTTAGGATAATACTTTCCAGGTCCCTCCATGTTGTCTCAAAGGATAAGAGATCTTTCTTTCTTAAAGCTGCATAGTACTCCATTGTGTATATGGACCACAGCTTTTTTATCCATTTGTCTACTGATGGACATTAGGGCTGTTTCCAGATCTTAACTATTTTAAATAGTGCTGCTATGAACATGGGGGTACATATATTCTTTCTGATTGGTGTTTCAGGCTTCTTAGGGTATATTCCTAGAAGTGGGATCACTGGGTCAAATGACAATAGACCATCAACTTACACCATACACAAGAATAAACTCAAAATGGATAAAAGACTTAAATGTGACTCATGAATCCATAAAAA